AAGCGTACTTAAATATTTCCACGCCTTTGTTTGCGGAGATGTGTCGACTGGTCTCACAGGGGGGTCTTTCAAGTGGACCCGCGTGGCCCTCTGAATGCCAAAAAGGAGTGGAGAAATGGTCCTTGGTTCAATTCCCACGCGGTGACAAAATTTTTGCATTGTGATCTGACGCCAAAAATTTGGCATCAAATGACGTAAACACCAGAAATTGATGTCATATTCATAATTAGGCTTACAAACCCAAAAACCCTTATAAGTAAGCGTATACCAAAAACTGGTGAGAGAAAGTTGTGACGTAGAAACGGCACCAACGTGCCGTCGAACAGCGTCATAGGGGTCCGAAACGATGTCGGAGCCAAAAACGAATGTCATATTCGTAATCAGGACACCTGATAACCCTTGTAGTCGAAGTTTCCAAGAAAATCAAGAATTTGACCCAACTTCGAAAAATTGCTCCATGAGCACTCGTACATCTGTAGCACGTCAAGCTCGACGACGAACTTCTTGGAAATAACCTCTTCTATCCCTCAAGAAATGAAATGTTCCTACCGTACAGACAATAGCAGACACCCAGGCTGATGTTGGTTGGCGGGGGGGGGGGGAAGGGGACGCCACCCACAATGCAGTAGTTTTCTGCTAGTTCTTCGCGTGGAGCTCGCCTTCAAGCGACTGGGAATACGTGAAGAGTTACTTATGTTTGGTGCAAATTTTCGAAGTTTGGTCAAGATGCGATTTTCCTCGAAACTTCGGCTATAGAGGTAAATCAGTGCTCTGGTCACGAATATGGCATTGTTTTTCGGAGCTGCCGCCATTTCGACGTTACAACTTTTTTTGCTGCTTTCGGTGAAAACTTACCTCGTTGTGGTTATTAATGGCCTAGAATAAGACATCTATTTTGACATTAGTGCAATTTGGAGCCATTCTGGAAGTGCCAACAGAAAATGCAAAAATTTCGCCGCCTCGAGGATCCGAACCACCAACCCCGACCAAGCGTGCCAATTGAAGTCCACATCGCTAACCACTACACCACCGACGCTGCCGATGTGAGTAGCCAAATGCACTATGAAACTTCCACACGCTCTTCAGTACATAGCATGACATCACTACGACAACTTTCCAATTTTGGCCAAACTTCGCGTTGTTTTCGATACAGAGCTTGCGAGAACCCTTCATTATGCAAGCAGTCCACGCCATGAATGAAACAAACCACGGTGAGTGTAAAAATTGCAGTTATCCGACGAAATTATTTTCACTCCTTTTTTGGCATTCAGAGGGCCATTTAGCGGAAATGGACCACAGTTCTGTACTCCATGCACATCCCTCTATATCATGCAAAAAACCGTTTTGAGAAAGCGCCGGTCCACCTGAAAGACCTCTCGCACCAAATTTTATAGTAACAACTATGATGGTAGAGAGAGAATGCACATTATTTTTACACACATAAAAAATCACTTCATAATTATACTAAAGTAATACAAAACAGAAATAGAACAATCAAAACATATTGGTCTATTAGCAACATAAATATAAGTCAAGATCTCAACAATATCGCACATGAAAATCTCAAAATTTACACAGCAGATTTCACAGACATGTTTACTAATTTGGAACATATTGTCATTATTAGGAATATAAAGCATATTCTCTTAAACATTATAGCATTTCTTAACATGCTGATAAATCGCTTGTCGCCACTAACGGCTATCACGTCTTCTATACAAGTGGTGAATCAACAAGTAGTAGCTATAGATATTACAAACCTGCTGATCTGTTATACTTCACAGAATATTTGTTAAAAAACAGTTATTGTACATTTGGCAATCATATATTCAAACAAAACAAAGGAGTACCACAAGGAGGTAATTTCAGTTACAGTCCATATCTCGAAGTCGGGGAGGGCGGGGCTGCGGACTACATTGCGAGCGCGTCGGCGGTTGCGTGCCTATGGAAGTTTGCCGTGAAATGTCTGTGTCAATTGTGCAGAAACACTGCCTCCTTGTCTCTGCTTTCTCTAATTCTCCTCCATGGCTCTAGTCACTAGGGTGCTCTTCCGTCTGGATGTCGAAGAGTATTGAACTGTTGAAGGAAGCCTGGCGGAGTGGCAGAATACTAGTTTGAAACCGAATAATGCTGAAAACAGCTGATTCGGCCGTCAATACTCTGCGACATCCAGACGGAAGAGCACCCTAGTGACTGTAGCCATGGAGGAGAATTAGAGAAAGCAGAGACAAGGAGGCAGTGTTTTTGCACAATTGACACAGACATTTCACGGCAAACTTCCATAGGCACGCAACCGCCGACGCGCTCGCAATGTAGTCCGCAGCCCCGCCCTCCCCGACTTCGAGATATGGACTGTAGCTGATCTTACCCTCTCCGTTATGGATACATTTATGCAAGAAAGCATAATTTTAATAGGAACAGACACATCTAAGTGAAACATCCAGTAATTATCTGGATTTAACAATAAGTATAATAAATAATAGAGTTGTAACTAGATTGTATAACAAAACGGATGATTTTCAGTTCAAGGTTATTAGATTCCCACACAATGACACAAATATCTCCATAAATAATAAAGGCTCCGTTATATACACTGAAACACTTAGAATAGCTAACACTTGTTCCGTATTTGACACCTTTACCGATAAACTAACATACTTCATAAGAGTCGTGCAGGAATACTCAATCAATGATTTGTTGCTTAATTCAGTGGACAGCTACAAACATTTCCACCTTTTTAATTTTATAAAAGTTTTTGCATAACTTATCAATTTATATTCACTTTAGTCAATATACAATTAATTTCATTGCATGCTCCTCTGCATGATAAAGTACGTCACATCAAGGTTTATTCGTCTTTCCCCTGTGTCTTTATTTCGCCAATCCCAACTCACTGATGAGCTCCGGGGATTGACGAAATAATAAGG